GAGGGCACTGTGCCGGAATCGAAGCACAGGGCATGCCGAGAAGGTACTGTGACATCCAAGCTGGCTATGTTATGTTGTCGTTGCACGACAATCAACCACACCACGTTGACGAGATGCTCCATCAGGAAATGGCAGGACTCCAACTTTCACTTCTCATGCCAGTCAGCGCCAACAGCTATGCCGATCAACAGCACATGCACCTTGGTGTACTACTGCAGGCTCAGATTGGTAATCTCTCCACTTTGTTGTCAGACTAGTCCGACTTTATCAAGGAATCATCACTACCATCGCGGTCTGAACCTGACTCCACTGCATACGAGAGGGGCGGTGTCCGCCTGCTCTCCACTCTGGGGTCGTCCCCGGGACTGCAAGGCTATGTCTTCGCCATTGCATTTCACATGAGAGCCACACGATCGGGTGTGCCGATCCACTGCACGCGATAAGCACATAAGATCCGGATGGCTTTCTGTTTAATCTTTTTACATCGCACGGTCAAAGCCAGTCATTGGAGGTGTCGCGACCAGCTGACTCGGGAGCAGACCCAAGCCGATCCAGCACAAAAATGCAAGATGTCGTCAGAGCTGGGGCTCTCAAGCATTTGCTGCGAATGTCCTCTGAGTGTAAGGATGTGATGGGGGAACGCTCGTTGGTGTCAACTCGTCTCCCTCTCGATTCGTCTTCAACAGCCGCACATGTCAACATTCCATGCCTATGCAGTGGATGCAGAATGGAGTGAGTGACGGTTGTGGGTGCATCTCCGGCCAGGAGTCCTGGTCGTTAGCCCTGTACTCAGATTCACTGCATCGCAAGCTGCGGTTGCGAGAACAAGAGACAGGGTTCTCAGAGCTCCACAATTTCAGACTGCATCGCCTGACAAACCTCGTCCAAGGCACGTACTCACTAAAACTTGGAAGCCATGCCATCGCATCCGTACTGAGCCTCCAACAATGGCTGGTGCGTTTGCCTCTACAGCTGCCAACTGCGCTTCATGATGATGTGCTGTTAGGCCTGGCCGACTCAAGGAGGCCAAAGGATGTGGTAAACAAGACCAACATTCCGCACTACTTCCTCGAAACGAATGCACCGCCCTTCAGTTGCAGGCGCCCGAAACAAACCGTGATCCAAGGATATTCGGAGGTATGACATTTGGGGTGCTGGGGTGCTCCAAGAGAATACATGTTCAATGCTTCAAAACTCCATAGGATCCCAAGATCTGGACTGACAGCCTGAAGCTCACAGCAACAGCTTGCTGGATGGTTGGAGATAGAGGGAGGAGGGCCAACGGAAAGAAGGTGTCCACCCCAGAAACAATGCTCTTCGAACACACTGGCCAGGAAGCGCAACTGAGCAAAGTGAAACAACAAACACCAAAACTCTGAGGTCCGCTTGCATCCCAAACATGGCAGTGCCGACCCCAGAGAGCCGCACATCCAGCACGTTGAACCTCCGAGGCAGCACTGGTCGGCACTGCAGAGCGCAACTTTGTCGCAGCTGCAGCATTTGCTAAGCCCGGTACCCCTGTTACTGTGAGGTGCTCCTGCATTCCTGCCGGCTTTTTCAACGTGCTAGCTCTCAAAACTTGCCTTTCAAGCCGGGCGGACCACGGCAGATGCTTGCTGCCCTCAGGCTTTCCATATCTCCCCAAGACCGTCCCGAGAAGACTTCAACAAACGTGCTAAGGTTCCAGCCCACCGGCATCCACGATGTCCTCGCGAGCCAGGGTGTGCGCTTGTCTATCACGAAAGTCGAATCAGAAGCAGTATGGCCTGTTTGTTCTCCTGATTGAAAGCGGTGATGTTGCTTAAGGCCTTGCGAATCAGTCGAGAAGACTTGTGCCTATGACCCTGGGGCGTCTTGCTGGGGTGTGCGCGCCGAAGGCACCTTCCAACACTTCGTCGCTCTCCACATGTGTGTTCACTGCCTCCAGGCACACTTTATCAGCCGATACCCAAAGCCCTAAGACCAGCTTAGCCATGCCTCGCACACCAGCTTGGTGATGCCAAGACCATGCACTGCGGCCTTGGCTACGCGGATGTAACCAGCTTTGCAATTGGAACCAAGCATGCGACCTGATTTTGCTTGTGGTCGGCCACCAGATTCCAAAGTGCTGAACCTCTAGCAGCCGCATGATACTGTCAAAAGCACGGCCGGACCTGGTGGATGCTAGGTGCAGGGCATGCTTGAGCACAGGTGTGAGCTTTGTCAGGATGCTCCTCAACAGATTGTGAAGCTTTGGAAAGCTCTCCAGACCGGTGTGTCCGTAGTTCGGCCTGAAGCGCAATCAGCACCAGGTGCAGTGCTTCGGCCTGAGTCAGCCTCGGCAACTCCGATGGTTGCGAAGAAGTAACAGCTCCATTGGCCATCCCAGCCTCTCTCTCAGCGAAACTTTGCATGCAAGATTGCTCAGCCTTAGACCATCAGCACGAGACTCCAACAGACCTTCTGGCAGCCATCATGCTTCGGGTTCCCGACGCGCCCAAGCCTTGCTCCTGTATCCACACATGCACATCAGGCACATACTTTTCGCTCTTTTCACGTGACTTTCCCTGGAATGTCTTGCTGGCCTGAACCAAAGAGGACAGCTTAAATCTCTGTAGGGCCAATAATATCAATTCCACGCCGTCGACCTTCTCAATGAGCTCCTGGGCACGCAAGCCAAAGCAGCATCTGCATTGTCCGGAAGTGGAGAATGCTTCTGACCGGTCCAGTGCTCTAAGGTTCCATTCCGTTCCATCCCCATTAGAACGTTCCATAAAAAACTTTCCTGCCGGAGGCCTCAAGCTGGTCAGGGCCTGCGGAGCGTTGTTGGTCTGTAACCGAAGCTGATCATCTCAAATACTTTCAGCTGCGAGTGGCATGCATGCCTCTAGGCACCTGCATCCGAGGCATGTATGTTTTGTTCTCGGGACACATGCACTGCACATGTCTTGGAGGGTCACACGGCCAATCTTCCGACTGGATTGTGCAACATATTCGTAGGTGGCGTTTTAGGTGCGGGTGTTTTCGAGCACACTCGCTAGCTGCCTGAAGATACTTTCGAAGCAAGGTGAGAAACGCGTTCAGGTGCAGGAACGAACACTGTACGCCACATCTTCAGCTTATGCCCAGGCCCTACAAGGTTGCGCCAGGCACAATGCAACATTCTTTGTACCTGTCTTGTCAGATCTGAGGGCAGCGCAAACCATTCAGAAGAGCAAGCCAGATTCCGAATGACAGCGCAACCATGTTCCTGGAATTCACGGTCAGTCAGGCTCAAGTCGCAGAAGCCAACAACTGGATCTTGCCATCTTCTCACAACTCCAACAAGCCTGCACGGCACGGGACTGCTTGAAGGTCTTCATGGCACTTTCCACCTGAAGCAACTGCAAGCAACTTTGTCCGGCTTGGCTTCTCGCACCGACACAACGTGTCGCCTCCTCAAGTATAGACTTCACTGAGGGTGCCTTCTCCTGACCAAGGCAGCAACCGAGACAATCTGCCGTAAGCGGGACTCCTGCATGTCTCGGATGCGACTCCTCCGGACACCCGATCATGGCCTTTTCACACTTGGTTGCACTGGTTGCACATGCTTCAGGCTTCGCGACGGTGGAGTGAGGGTGGAAGGCTCAATTTCGGTTTCGGCCAGTCCCGCTGGGCCTCCCGGAGCACACGCTTGTGAGGATACGATAACCTCCCAACGTGGGCCACGACATGCCCAAACAATTGAAAGAATCCCACCCTGTCACAACACCGGCACCTGTGCCATGTGAAGCATCACATGATATCCGCTGGCATCCAGCATGAAGACGTATCGTCACTCCGAAGACCAGCAACCATCATTTTTTCACCGGCTATACATGTCAGCACTCATGCGACTCCTCTTTCCGAGAAGACGAAGCGTCAATCATGCATTCACAGAGCGCTACACGGCACAATCGGCGATTGCACTCAGAGAGGATACTAATTAACCGATTAACCAATTATATGGGCATCAAGCTTTCCTACCGAAGTTCTATCCAGCATGTATTGTGGTTGTCGCCCCCACAGCCACCTGCACTTCGTGCCGACCATGCCCCGACTGTCTTCTGGCTGCCAGCTCTGCTGACTGGCTCCACTCGCAGGACATAATCTACAATCAAGCAGCCCTCTGTCAGACTGGAATAGTTTGGCATGCTTTGGACAGCCGGTTGTTCATCGAGTTTTGCACTCGTTTGGGAAAGGCTGTCGGAACTTCTGGGCAACGAATTCGGTCAGGAACCTGCTGAAAGTGTGAGCAGAAGCACAGCCTGAAAAAGCGGAGCTCTCTACATACCTAGACTACGAGCATCACCAGTGCCAGCACCACCACTACCACCACCAGCTACTTTGCCGGCTACCGCCACCGGCTACTGCTACTGCTACTGCTACTGCCACTACTACGATTCCTGTTGCTTCTGCCGATACAGCAACCACTGCTGCTACTGCTGCTACTACACTTTCCTCTGTTCATTTTTCTTCTACTGCAGGCGACCCCAGCACCACTGCTGCTGCTGCTGCTGCTACTACCACTACTGCCAACACCACCTACTGACTAGCAACCACTACCTAATTACTAACTACTGGCTACTGGCTACTAGCTACGAGCTACGGGCTCCTCCACGTCCCAAACACATCCTGCTATAATGTGCAACATCCTTTAAAACTACGCTTCTTTCTTCCAAAACGTTCTTGAAGCTGGCTTAGCTTTCTCTTGCACTTGTAGAACAAGGTCAAACGACGAACGAGTGCCTCTTCTTCATCCTCTTCGGCCTCTTCAGACTCCGATTCAGCCTTAGTCGCGACTGCAAGCCGGCCGTGTGCCGTCAGAGAGACAAGATTTGGAAGCAGGCAGAGAGCCCACCGAAGGCAGTGCGGTGCCGAAGATTTGCCAGGTGCTGTTCTACCTGACCCGTCAATCCAACACGTCTGCCATTCGCAACATTTCGCTGGGAAGACTGCGGTGAGCCTCTGCGAGCTTTGTTGGGTCTTTGGCCGCTTTGCCTGAGCGATGCTGTGCCAGCCACTTCCAAATCTCTTCAGCATGCCTCAGCGGTGGACTTTTCGACATGTCACCACATGGCTCTCAGCATGGCCAACTCACAATACACCGAAACAAATGGAGTTCGTACTGCTGTCAGAATGACTGAAAAAAGTGGCGGCGAAAGAGAACAAGGACACAAAGAAAGCAGCTCAGGAAAGCCCCTGCAAACCGCGTCACGGCGGCAAACACAAACTCAAGCTGTGGATGTGGCACGGGTCTACTAATGTGCCGACCGCGGTGCTTTGAGCATACGACACACGCAGGGTTTGTCGGGGCGGAAAATTCTGCACTCTGCAGCTGCAGTGAGTTCAAAAGGTACGGTTCATGCTTTAAGTGTGCGTCGAGGCAGGTCGAACGCACGTGGTGATGCGAGGGGATCGGGGACTGCTCGCAGCAAAAGCTAGCAACTCGAAAGAAGTAACTCCACAGAGTTGCCTGCAGCTGCAAAGTAACACTATTGAATCGCACAGAGTCTATCTACGCGCGCCAAGCATTCCTCCGAAGCATAGAGGACACCTGATAGGCAAATCAGGTGGAGAACATACAGCTGCTCACGAAGCCGCTGCCTCCGAAGCAACTGTCATCAGGAGCAGGAGGGGCTGCCGTCACTTGCCGCGTCGGCACCTGACATTGCTTCAGCATGAAACCCAAGCTGTCATCCGGAAGCAACTCGGCCGCGCACCATGATCAAGGTTATGTCATCGCAATAGTCAAACTCATGCTCCTCGCGTTCAGTCAATGTGGGAGCAGCACGTTTGGCAACCGGCTGGTGCTCGAGTTGGAAATGCACAGTGTTGCAAAGGGATCGGCCGCAGGGTAGGTAGAAAAGGTCAGAGGAGCAGGAGCTTGTTGGTGGGTTCGGTGAGGTGCAACAACCACTCAAATGTTCTGTTAAGAAAGCAGATGTGTAATTAAGCGAGCATTTAAGCGCAGCAAATCTCGAGCCTTGAGAGCAACTCTCCTGAAGATGAAAACGCATTTAGCAAACACTGTCTCGGCCATGAAGGTCCGCCCGCTGGCATTTTACAGTATGTGCTGTTGCAGCGCCGAAACATTGCTGGGTGGCTAAGATTGGGGGCGGGCCACTTCGGCCAGGGCATCTCTTTCCAACCCTTGAAGGCCAACCCGTCGAACGGGTCAATTTCAGTCGATGCCGAAGGGTGCGAGCAAGGCCATCTGCGCCCGGAGGGGCCGCAGAGGCCTGCTCCTTCACAGAGGCGCCAAGCTTGGCCGCCACTTGCTCTGGGGCGCCAAGGTTGGCCGCCGCCAGCCCAGGCTGAGGCGCCTTACTGGCCGCCTTCGCAGTGCTAGTGGCGGTTCTCCGGGCTTGGCAGCGGCGGTAGATTTCTGCTACACCAACGTAAGCAGAAGATGGGAAAACCGGAGGCAAGCCCTACATGGAAACCGAGAACAGACGCAGCACTGTGGCAGGACAGCAGAAGACCTGGAACCGCCGGGTGCGCGTAGCAGTTGCGCCCCGCCGCAACAGCAGTCAAATCCTTGCACCTTACGCATAAGAACCACTAAGAATCCCATAATCCTTCGGCGTGGATTTCGAAGCCTGGACCCTGCGAGCCAAAGGCAAGTTAGAGTCAAAGCCAATCATTCTGCACAATGTTGGACAGCATATACACAGGCAGCAAACTCCAGCCTGAGGATGTTTTGTGCGTCTGTTTGTACCTCATATTTGCGCTGCTTTCGGTCCCAAAGAAGACTTGCGGTCTCCAAATAACAAAAAGCCCCAGGCAGAGCCCTGCAAACACGTGTCCGATAATCTGAACCCTGGGTTAGGATCCAGCTAAACCCGCTTAGGGAGCTCATGGCTCTCCATGCAAACAACAAGCACTCCCTTTGCCAAGCGTGCAAATCACCGCAACCGCAAGTCCTTCCACTTGCCTTCTGCCACCTGCAGCTGCTCAAGCCGCAACATGAAGCTACAAACACAAGGCCCCGCCTTCACAAGCTCCTCCACAATGGCATCCTTTTCTACACCTGCTTGGAGGTTACCTCAGTTTAACTCGCAGGAAGCAAGCTTCAGAGGCATAGACCGCGTACACCAGACAACGAAAGGTCGAGGTAGCCTTCGAAGGGAGACCGAATCCAACTCCACGAATGCAACGAACAGGTCAAGGCACGGTGAACGATTTCGGCCACATCCTCATTGCTCAAGAACTCCCAAATCCCATCGCTGCCCAGAAGAAAATGACCAGAGCCATCACCCAGCTCCTCAAATTTAGGTTTGCGCCACTTCGCAAGACTCTGCCAGACGTCCTGTTCCAGCTTGTAGACTTCAGGCCTGGCGGTGACCCCGTACTTCTTGTACCTCGAAGCTTTAGGGCTTGGCTTCTTCTTTGGCTTTTTTATGCTTTTTTGCTTTCACGCCGAGGCACATCAGGTCGCCGATGGAGCGTGTGAAACCAAGCTCCGGGAGCTTGCCACGCTGACCAAGCAGGCACTTAGCTCGTCACATGGAAAGATTCAAGCACATCATATTGTCACCTCGCATACCTCGCCGTGTCCCTGCCCCGCCCCGGTAAGCAGCCGACGATCTTTTCAAGAACTTCTCCGTTGGCAGCATCGCTCGTGGTGATTTCACAGCCGCTCATGATAACGCGTTGACGTTCACTAGGATTGCAAGGCTTGTGGTCTTCCGTCGAGAACGAGACGCTGCCATCACGGCAAACGTGGATAACTCGAGAATCGCCTGTGGATGCCACCCAGACGACGGGACTGTGAATTTGCCGCAGGATGCATGCAACAGTGGTCCCCGACAACTGAACGTTTACTCCTGCATCACGCGATGCGGAGACAATATCTTCTTGAAGCCTTTCAAAGGCCGACGTGAAGGCTGTCTCCACCGCACCGTCGCGGAGCATCTTCCGACAGTCACGTGAACTTAGGAAGTATGGCAACGCCCGGACGACTCGCTCGGATACCCAATTCCCCTCTTCGCCATGGCCATCGGCCACGCAATGCAAGCGAAAACCTCCGGGCAATCTGGCGCAGCTGAAGTTGTCCTGACCTGGGGCACGATCATCCGGATACTTGCAGCCCTTGCAACACCGCACCGCGATCTTGTGCCGGGCCTTAGCCAAACTTTCCACCTGCATCTGTATGACACTTCCATGAACGAGCCCTTTCTTCAAGATGAAGAAGGATACCGTGAGACTGCTTTTTGGGCAAGTTGCCAGCACGCTCTCGCCCGACTCTTTCGACCTGGCGCCGGAAAGGTCAACAAAGGTCAGCTTCCTTATTCCTTCCCTTTCCTTCCTCTGTTTCTCTTACCTTGGCGGCAAGAGACCTGGGCAGCAGTGCCACCTCGCGAACATGAAATGGCTCCTCGCTGGCTGCTGGGAAACTGCTGTGCGCCTAAGAGTTCCAGCTGTAAGCTCATGCCACACCCTCAAAACTCGAGTGCTTTCGGTGATGCTACATGATGCAATAAGGCAGGCACGAGCCAAAGGCCACTCCTGCATGCTGCTGGAGCGAGTGAGAATCTACTGGCTGGCTCTTCGCTACTGGGTTTTCAGATACTCTTTGCCGCCAAGTTTCAGGCTGCTCCACACATGGCGCAAATTCTGTTCAGAAACTTCGTCTTGCAGGTCGGCAAAGCACTCATCCTGCGACTCACCATGCCAAGGCTCAAACCCCTCATGATCCGCAAACTTCACCACGAAGGTGGTCGTACATTGCAGCAGTCCTTATCTTGCTCGTGGAAAGCCTCTTTCGAGACTGTCTCCCGGTCCTGGAATGATCAGTCAACGACACATCATGCAAAAAAAAAACTTGCCGACACACTAACTCCAGTAGGACTCGTTTTAGTCTCGTTCCAGGCAAGCGTCTATGCCTACTCCATGGAAGGACCTGCGGCTTTTTAGCCGATATTGCCTCAGAAATATGGTGTGCAGAATGGCATCGAAGATCTGTTGCAATGATGGGTAGCAACAAGTGACAAGAGTTGGAAACAAGGCGCGACGCATCCTGAACTGCCTCTGTCACATCACCATTGGTGCCCTTCATCGGTCATCAAGAACAAAACTTGCTTTGACGATATTCCATAGCTTCGGTCTCTTGTGCTCTGCTTCTGCGGAAGGCATGTAGGCTTTGCAAAGGGCATACATGCACTCTAGTGTCGCTAGTGCAATAGTGTAGCTTTCGTGCTGCCTTGGCTGTTCACCCCCCTCTGGTGCTGGAGATGCGACTCTGTTGGAACGTCTCGGTCGGTGCTGGGATGCGACTGGAGATTTTCGCTTCTGAAAGAGGACATTCTTTTTTTCGACACGCGGTGACATCGCCACTCCATGGAGGCTCCAGTTTACAGGGCTGTGCCTCCAAAATCTGCCGACCAAGTCAGGGTCACTTGTAAGGGTTGCACAAAGTATCCTAACGTCTGTCGAATGATGAGAGCACTGTAATCCTGCAATACGGACGACCCACCAATGAGAAACAGCGAGAAGCTGCTCAGAACTTGAACTTTGTCTTCTCCTGACACCACACTGCTTCGGGAGCTCAAAAGCCGTCCCCCATCGCCCAACGCACCTTGCGCTTCTTGGTCGGCTTGGCAGCCACCGTCTTCTTCTGCTCCACCTTGACCCAAGCCGGCACTTAAGAGTCCAGTTTGGTTGTCCTTTCGTCCTTTTCCCCTGCCTCCTTCTGACCGGCTGCAATCTTGGCCTTGGCGGCGGCCTCTTCGTGCTGTTTGAGCTGTTGACCTCGTGACAGTGACCGGGGATCACTAGTGGCAAGCCCGTGCAGCTCGTGCTGCCGCTGAGACCGGGACGAATGATGTCCGCTGTGAGAATGCCTTCTGTCTCAACCTGCGAGCTGTCCACTCTACCGCCCTTTTCTCCGTGTCAACGAGATTCTGCCTCTAGCGACATCTGTCTGCCCCACTCAAAGTAAGAAACTCTGACTCCTAAAGCACCGACGTGCCTACTCCCTTGCACCTTGCACTGCGTATGTTCGTTCTCCTTCCCCTATATCGGCAGTCCAGACTAGGAGCCCTCCTCTCTTGCTTTAGTTTTGGTTCCTCCGCAAGAAAGCTCGGAGAGCAGGCAGGAAGTCAACACCATTACTGCGCACACCTGGCGCATGACATTATGTTTTGGTCCCTGCCCTGTGAAGCTTGGCATCGAGTGTGCAATTGACCTGCAACGAACTGAAAACTTGCACAGACAGACCGACAGAAAGAGCGGCAGGCAGGCAGGCAGACAGACAGACAAACAGACAAACAGACAAACAGATAGATACATAGATGTAGACACTAGTCCCGGCCTGTTCTGGGTTCAGATTCATGGTCACCGGCCCGGGAGTGTCTGCTCCGCCGACTGGTGTCGGTGCCTCAATTAGAAAGGTGTCTCATCCTGATGTGTCCCTAGCAAGTAGGAAGTAGTGGGAGCAAGACCATGCCACCGGGAATGCCAGTGGGGGTGGAAACGCCCCCAGCCGGAGTTGCCTTGGCTGCGACATGTCATTGCTGAGATATCGAATAATGCAGTACTGACTCGAGCGGTGTCGGCAAGAACTGGGCTGGCCGCAATTCCCGCAGGTGTATGCTGACCCACCGGCGTTGCTATACCTCCGACTGGTGTAGCCTTGTGACAAGGCATGTCACGAACGTCAGGATATCACAAGCCAGTAGGCAGGCACTATGCAGCACGCAATGCAGCCCAGTAGCAATGCCGCCTACCGGAGTGGCGATACCGCCCACTGGGGTCGCGATACCACCTCGCGCAATTTGCGCGAGACACGTCGTGAAGAATGGATGACCCTTTTTGCTTCGATGGTGCTTGGGCCCAGGCCGACTGGGGTTGCAATTCCTCCCACCGGCCTTGAGGCTACGAACAGCGAGGCGGAGGACACTCCACGACAACTCGACGAAAACTTGGTCGCGGGCGTGTGAACACCACCGCCAACGGGTGTGCCGATGCCACCAATGGGAGTGCCCGCTCCGGGTGTGCCCATGCCAGGAGTCCCAGTCCCGGTCCCAGTTCCATGACCTCCGCAACCCGTGACTGAACTAGACAGGAAGCAAAGCATGCCGCCATTGCCTGCGGACCCCATACCCAGCGGGGTAGTGATGCCCTGCGGCGTCCTTGCAACTGTTGGGTTGTAGTGCAGAAACCAGCAGTGTCGCGATCATGCTTCCCTAACCAGCAATCATCTCCTCGTACCCATGCCTGGCGTTCCAATACCGTGCGGCCTCAGGAGCCGGGTGACTTTTGCAGCTCTCTTCACCGAGCCCTAAAATCTGCCTGACAATGCCTCGGGCCCACACGTGGAAATGCCATGAGGAGTGCCGATTCCAGCAATGGGAGTACCTGACCGCATGTGGCGTTTGACACATCAAACCCTTTGCAGAGTTCAACGAGGCACAGGAACAAGCTGCCAACCTAAAACAGGCAAAGACTTGGGCACCAATGCCACCAATCGGAGTGCCAATGCCAGCCACCCTTAGTTTGAAGAGCTTGGAGGTGCAGATCTTGTGGGTTGCTCGGGTCGCCGAGGTGCGGAGTGCCGGTACCCGAACTGCCCACACCTCCGACTGGCGTCGACGAGCCGCCTCCACTCCTTTGAAGCCCCGGCCGAAGCTGTGCAGACAGATGCTCGCTCCAGGTGCCGTAATTGCGTCCTGCTGCCGACTTTGTAGGTGTGTGCAGATGGGTAAACCTGCACACGAACGCACTCCGAACAGACTGATAAGAATGCACAACAACCCTAGTCGTAAGCAGCCCACACCCTTCTTGGACTTTGATTTTTGCTCCTCGAGCACCTGTCAAGCCAAGGTATTCCTTTGTCCACAGCTGACCCAGCTGGACCGACCTGGAAAAGCTGCGGAGTCGGAGTGAGGGAGGCCGAGCTAATGCCACTCACCTCGCTTGGCATGAAAGCGAGGCTGCATCGGCCACAGCTTGCCCGTCCAACTTGCTGGCGTTCTGATGCCGTCAACATCCAAGCATCTGCACAGCAGAGCTGGGCTCCGTGCTGATGCGATCCCGCCCTTCTTGCTTCGTGTACCCGTGCCAGGTCTTATGAAGTTGCAAGGGTTGAGCATTGTTCCAGTACGTCACGCCATGATGGCCAAGAGCGGGACGTGTCCATGCCACTGGTGATCGAGGACACACCGCTGATGCTGTGTACTCCATGTGACCTTTGCCAACCACACATGCCCAAATCTATGCAGCAAGCCCTCACACAGCATTCCAGCAGGATCCGGACACAACAGGAGTTGCAGAGCCCGAGCCAACCAGCGGAGTGGCCGTGCCAAGCATTGGGGTGGCGGTGCCATCCCCCCTGACCCAGCCAAAGAATTCGCGCCAAAATGCGAGTATTGTAAAGGAAAAGAGAATCACAACGCCTCTCAGCTTCCACCTCTTCATCTTCCTCCTGTCACGAACGCCACAGGAATCTTCTGCGTTATGCATGAGGGCATATGCCTCCTCTTCAAAATCATCGACCTCACCCCAAAGAGTGTGATCCTGGGAAGGCACAGTCATCATGCCTCAATGCACAGTCAGTTGATGTCCAGTCCTCTGGGCCTGAGGGTGCTGGTGCCTACGAGCAATGCGTGAAGCTTCCACTGCCAGTCCCGGCTTCTTGGCCTTGGACCCGAAAGGGGTCCAGGCAGGCCCTTGTTGGGCCTGGTCCTTCCAGTCGCCGTATAACGGGTTCCCAAACCTGCAAAAAGAATCAGCATCTGCCACGTCATTGCTGTCTGAGAGTTACATGCTCGGGCGCTGGCTCGTCGACAGGCGGCTTCCCCCAACCACCAGGGTGATATCCATACTCTGCGCCCTGCATGGAAAAAGGGGATAAGCTCTCCTGCAAAGCAACGTGCGGAAGCCTGCCTGAGGGATGGGTGCATTCAGTCCCGGGATCTTCAGATTGGGGTATGCCGGAGGAGGCCCATAACCTCGTTTGTTGAACGAGTGCCTGATTGAACCCTGCACAAGACCGTGCTCACAGAAACACCTGTTCCCGTCTCGGACTTGATCCCCAAGGCACATACTCCGTCCGGCTGGTTGGGGGTGTGCGAGGGCATCATGAAGAGCAGAAGCAATTTCTTTGGGAGGTGTATGTCCCGACTCGAGTCTGGAACTAAACCCTCGTGAGTGCCGACTGCAGGCAATCATGTGGATTTACAACAACTTGCTTGCTGTTGCTGGTTCCTGCCTGAATTTCAGGTTGATTTAATAAATATCCCAGTAAGGAAACGGAGTAGGTTCTGGCACAAGACAGCATGGATCGTCCCTTTACTTACTTGCGCCGCCATGGCACCAGCTTCCTTCGCAAGATTGTGCCATTATCCCCCACATTGAGCGCGTGATCTCACTATGATCTTCTATCTACATTGCCATCATGACTTCTCCAATGCTTGTCAATAAGACTGCAAGGACTGCCATTATAACGTCTTCATGCCGATTGGCATCTAGCCGTTTGGCTGCCGGAATGCCATCGGAATCTCGCTTGGCATTGGACTTCATGCCGACTGCTTGCGAACATCTACACCAGACCGTCAAATTCAGGTCGATAAATTCAGTTCCACCGCTACGATCTGACCAGCAGTGGAGGATGAGTTCTCCCTAGTTTTCTGCTACTTGACCTTATATCCTCGACTTGGACGCAAGCTTCCCACACTTATGCTGGAGGTTCTACGTTGATCTATATGTCATCCTACGCTTTATCGCCGCACCGATGCGGGAGAACCCAATTGACCATGCTTCCTATGCTTACGTGTTTAGCCAACTCTGGGAGACGGTGGCTCCCAACACGGGCCTGACTGATGCCCTCACCGAAACCACTTAACAATTCACTTCGAAATGATTCTGGAGTGACTTGGACAAGCTCGCCTAGAGGACTTGGGGCACAGATTTGATTTATTCCCCGACATGTTCCAGCAATTTCCAGCATCTCGTAGTGATGCTGACGACTACCGATATGACTCCAAAATTACTCCAACATGACTCCGGAAGTTTCTGTGCAGTAACACATGTCAGTATGTCATGAAAATACACTCAGGA